GAAAGAAGGAGCTTTAAGAGTAGAATGGATTAGTAAGAGAGACTGGATTTTTCTTTTTTCCAAACAGTAAGCTAAATTTTGCAGCTAAAGGGAGATGATGGGAATACCACTACTAACAAAATTCATAAATACACTTGCAACTCTTAATGAGTATATGTGCCTGACGATATTCTTCAGACTATTCTGGATGAGGTAAACTGATCTGAATCATTTAATTAGCTTCCATCAGAATGAATAGTCTTAAAAGATGGAACTGTTCACCCGACTATCACAAGAATTATATCTTTGGAAAACAGAATCATTCTACTCTCCCAGGCACTCAGTAAATGTAGCTAAGGAAATAACATCATGAACCATAGTGTACTGTCCCTTCACAGAAGACCTTTTGCTGGGCTGGCCTCTGGGATTATGTCTCCGGAACTGCAGTCAGACACATTCTAGGAAACACTTATTATTGCCTTCTACCACAAAACTGCCATTGTCTTCAAGGCAGGGACCAGAGCGAAGACAGATTTCTATGGCAACAGTGACAGCTTTGAAGACCCGCCAGGAGAAAGTTATCCCAGGTTCCAAGACCAGGAAAAGTTGTATAACTGATCTCACGGTCACTGTGGATCAGACAACTATTTGTGTTTTCCTCTTTGTTTTGGCTATTGGGAAGCTCGGATAATTTTTAGTCCAATCTCCAGAAACTACTCTAGACCTTACATCTCTAGAAAGCACATGAAAAGTATGATACATTCTTGTTCTCTCAATTTTATCTCTGATCTTACCTTACTTTTAATCAGTATGGTCTCTTTACCCCAATTTCATTACCTATTATTTTTGTGTTGTTTACTATCTATTTTTATAAACTCTGCAAATGCTTTATGGTACAGGGGGCACTTAAATCAAGAAATATTTAAAAGCATGGGATAATTATAATAATAGTAGTATTAATAATAGTCAATATATTGAACATTGCTATGAGTGAAGCCCTGCCTGTCCTGAGTTCTGAACCTATTTTATTTAACCTAAATATGAGTGAAGTACTGTTATTATGCCCATTTTACAGATGAAAATACTCAGGCACAGAGTAACAAATGGAAGATTCAATCCCATGTATTCTGAATTATGTTATACAAAAGACTAATAATATGTAATTTCTAAAAGAAGCAGAGCCCTAGTGACTTTATATACTGAATTCAGCATTCATTAGTTTAAATGAGATCTGTTATCTTGTTCACACAATCATGCCTGGTGATTTATATCAGCAAAGAGAAACTAGATGGAAAAGAGTCAAACTAACAGATAATCCAAAAGTAATTGACTCTTGACCTAGGAACATAAAGGTTTTCATTCATTCATTTGTTCATTCATTCAGCACCCATATGTGTCATGCATGGTACAGGTGCTGGGAATACAGATGAAGCAACACTGCTGGTTTCCAGGAGCTCAGGTGCAATAAGGGACAGTCAGGCAGGTAAAGGGCACCAACGAGTTATGATTGGGTTGATAGGAGAGCAGAATTTGGTGTGACAAGATCATTCTGAGAGGAACTTTGCCCTTGGCCTCTGTGTCCCATTTGATAATGGAAGTAAGAAGCCTCAGCTCCCTGCTAGGGCTATTGTGATGAATCTCTTGGCCTAGTCAGGCACACTGAGTGGCTCATTCAGGCACAGTGGGCGGTAGCCTGGGCACCTTGTTCTGGCATCTGGATACATGTCCTCAGAATCTCAAGACTTGAGGCTGGCTACTGTCTCCTAGTCTCCCCTAGGAGCTGATTAACTTACAGTCCATGGGCAGGCCTCGTACTGTGTTCTGGATGCCACCATCTTAGATTCAATCTCACTGGACACATGGCCCACACTGGATGGCTATTCCTTAAAGATGCACTTGAAAAGCTTCCTCCAGGGCCTGGACCACACAATGCCCACTGGCATTTTTGTCACATTTGCTTTGCTTTACTGAAACATGGCAGTTCACCACCGAGTTCCACTGCTGCGCAACAGTTCTGGTTCCCGCTTGAACAGGTTAAGGAAAGACCCAACCAGAACTGCAAAGAGGGCGAGGGGGATTTCAAATGCACTGCTAGTTGAAGCTACTGAGAAAATGTGCTTCACTGCACAGCCTCAGCTGGAGCTGCGTCTCTTCAGAGTTTGGGGCAGTGGTTATAAGAAGTAATTAATCCCTTTCTCACAATCCTAACTCATATTTAATAGTTTCTCTCCCAGTCTGTTTTGCCATTCTATCAGCAAAGTCAGTCAAACATTACAATTCCTTTCTAAATATTCCAGCAGCTAGATGGCAGGAACACCACTGTGACAAGGCAAAACTTGCCTAAAGATAACTCGGTGATGCATGGTCATGTTTGATGGCACTTGGCTGAGCACAGGCACCCAGAGACACCTCTTCAGCTGCCCAACTTAACTTAGGTTTATAAACCAAGACTTCATGATTCCAAGAAGCAATATAAATCTGGACTGGAAAACAAACACATTTTACTTTTCTAAGTTCTGAATTTTACGCAGAAGTATAAAATCACAAAAGGCCACACACCAGGACAAATTTCTCAGAGTTTCTTTTACATATAATATTATTGTACCCTAACATTTCACCTATTTTTGCATCAAATTTAATGTATATTTATAAAACATTTGCTGGAAAACACATTTCCTTTCTGATGAGTTGTTTCTGTAGGTTTTTTTAAAGTATGAATAAACATATAAGTTCCAGAATGTAGGAAAAAGCTGACATGTCAACATGTGAAAATTCCATACATTCTATATTATATTTGACTCCTCAAATCTTTTCTAGGTTTTCTTTTTTTTAAAAAATGCTCTCTCTGTGTGTCTGAATGACTGCAAAATCACAACCTGTACTACAAAGCTTCTGAACAATAAATCTAAAAAGAGTGCTGCCAGGCTGGGCCAGCTGGCTTTCTCCTGTGCCTATAACTGTATGTTCTTAGACACACATACGCTTCCTCCAGCCCTTCTGCTGCTGGCTAACTTCAGTCTGTGACACACACTCACAATTATATGAAGATAACAGAAACTCCTGGAAAGGAACAAAAAAAGAGGTGCACAAAGAAGCCAGCATTAAGAATCTGTCACCTGCCCTGATTTCAGTGGCTGAAAATTGCCATTTATGGTTATATGTCCAGAACTTGAAGTCTGTGCACCAGTTCTTCACTCTGGCTGCCATAAATAGGTATTTAACCTCTGTGACCATTTATTTTCTCATCTTGAAAAAGTCACAACATTATCTCCCTTAAAGAATTGTTGTGACTCATAGTAGGCCATGCATGTAAAGGCATTTGGTAAAGCTCTCCATAGTGTTTATTTCATTCCCATTTATTTCTCAACTTTCTCTTGCTCTCCTGCCCCTTTTTCCAGGGTTTTGTTTTTGTGGTTTTTTTTTTTTAAATGTGTATCTAAAATGCATTAACTGGAAAATGTCACTAATTTGTATACTACCACAGTAAGTGGATTTTGACATTAAATTTTTATTTCTTTTCAAATGAGGTAAAACTTAGATCTAAGTCAAGTGTACAAATTTCAAGAACGTTATTCTATGAATAAGTTGGTAGATTTCAATATGAGTGCACCTGTGTAACCACTACTTAGGTAAGATGTGGAGCACTACCAGCTCCCCAGAAACCCCCCTTATGCCCTGTCCACCGAGACGAGGCCCAAAGGCAACCCCTTTTTCTATCACCAAGACCAGCTTTGCTAAAGTTAAACAATTTTCTGGGAAGGCTGCAGTGATAACTATTACTGACCACAAGAAATGTACTCTCAAACCTCCCTCTGAAGAGATCAAAGACTATGAAAAGGAGAAGGACCAATTCACACAGGTTTTTTTTTTTTTTTTTTCAATTCACACAGGTCTTGCCCAACAAGATCCTCATTTTTGTATCCCGAGGCTCAGGAAGGCAGTGACAGTCCAACTTCTTACACAGCAACTTTCCTTTTAAACGTAGTTGGTCAGCAAAACATCCCAAGCATCCAGGAAGGTGCCAGTGTGTCCCAGGGCCCCGGGGACTCTCACCCCTCCACCCGGCACCTCCAGGAAGCTGCGCACACCCAGTCCCCACACCGCCCCCGCTCCTACGTGGGCACACCCACGCGGCTGGCACGCCACGCTTAGAAGGCGCTGTTCCTGCAAGTCAATGCCCGCTTGTCCACCAGGGCAGGACGGGCCCCCCCCTACTCTCCCCACCCCCAAGTGCGCGCCCCCTTCCCCAATCCTGTCCCTTCCTGCCCCAGTCCAGCCTCTGCTGTGTACTGCGGAAAGGGGGAGGGTGTCATAGTAGGTTCTGCTACCTTGTCCAGGACATCCAAGGACTTTAAAGCCCATTTGTGTCTTTAAAGCCCATTTGTGGCTACTACCCTCGAACGAGGAGATGAGCACAAATAAGGGAGTCCGGAGACCTACACTCCTGCCCCAGGCGGTCACCGCAAGCCGTGTGACCTTGGGCAAGTCACTTCACATCTCCGAAATTGGTTTCCTCCCTGGGGGCTGCTGCGGCACCCCCAAAGCCATCTCCAGCTCTGCAATTTCCTAGCTCTTCTTTACTCCGCCCCAGCTCTTCCCGCGTCAGCCCCCTCCTCAGCGAGACCCCAGCCTTTTGTTCTGGGGGTGAAGCAGGGAAGAGCGGCAGGGGGAGCTTCTCCGAGGCCCAGGCCCCGGCTGCCGGGGCGCCAGGGGCAGCTCATTGGAGAGTCAGGTCCCGGGAAGTCACCGGGAAACCCCGCGGCGACCGCGTTCCCAGCGCGGTCCCGCTCCGGCCCGGCCAGGGAGGCGCGGCGCGGCGCGGCGGGCGGCGGGGAGCGGCGCTAGGACAGCGCAGCGCCGGGGCGCCTGCCCTGGGCGAGGAGCCCCCCGATCCGGGCGCGCGCACAGCACCCCCGGCCCGGCCCGGGGCCTCTGCACCCCAGCGTGGGCTCCAGCGGCCGCGGCCACAGTCCCTTTCCCCCCATCAGGCACCCGCCGGGACACGCGCGCAGAGCCGCTACCTGTCGCTGGCCGGTCCCGGGCCGAGCCGGGGTCCGAGCTCGGGTGGACTCCCCTTCGCGCCGCCGCCCGGCTCCGGACTTCGCCCCACCGCGCCGGGGCTCCAGGCGGCTCCGCGGCGGCCGCGCTACCCTGGGCGCTGCGCTCCGTGCGCCCCGCTTGCTCCCGGCCGCCAGCTCTGGTGCTGCCGGGACGCGGAGGCGGGGCCGCCGCCCCCACCTGCTCCGCCGGCTCCTGCCGGGAGCCGCCGCCGCCCAGCGCGCAGGGACGCGGCCGGCGGGCGGGGGCGCCCGGGCACCGGGAAGGCGGGTCCTGCGCGCCGGGCGCGCCTCCCGGGCGGAGAGTCCCAAGTCTGCGCGCCCGGAGAGCGGGGCCTGGGGCTGAAGTCTCCCAGATCAGAGGGGCTGTGGGGCGGGCCGCGCTCCGTCCAGCACCGTTACTGTGGGGGTACTTCACCCCTTCGTCCTTCAGTGCAAAATATTTTGAACCCCTCCCATTGCTCCAGGCTGTGGCATAGCAATGGGGATAAAAGAAAACTACAGCCTCTCGAGCTCTAGTTCACTGTCCAGAAAAGGAAACTGGCTGGTGGGCAATCAGAATCCAGAACCAAGGAGGGGGCGGGGGGGTGATCCTAGAGAGTATACCTGATTCAGATTTGAAGGAAGTCCAGGAAGGCTTTTTAAGAAGCTGAAGTCTCAAAGAAACTGAAGGAGGAGCATGAATTTCCTGGTGACAAGTTGCCTAGGGGAGCTAGCGAGTCCCAGGTGGAGCTGAAAGTGAAAGAAAGGAGACTGAATACTGAAGTAAGTTTGAGGAGCCAGAAAGGCATGATGTGACCGACACATTCCTGCTGCACCTCATGTTCAAGCCCTTTGGGGGAACAGAGTATTTGCAGGCTGGATGTATCCCCTTGGGTGCAGTGATGGGGATTTGGTGGGGCTTCTGTGTCTCCCAGGTGCTGGGCATTCTTGGTAGTGGAGGAGCTAAGAGGAGACTCCTGGACAGGCAGTCCTGCCATGTTTGAGTATCTCCTAGGGTAGGGGCTCTGCAGGGCCTTCAGGTGTGCTGATGAGGGAGGCAGGCTCTCCAAGAACGACTGCCTAGCCTGGAAAAGAGACCTGTTCTCAGCACTGTGGGAAGCTTGTGCAAAGGCAGGGAACACAGGTGAGGGAGCAGTTAATGGCAAGGAGTTGCTGGGCTGCAATCTGTCCCTAGATTCAGATTCTGTAGCAGGTGCTGTCAAAGCATGTTCCCAAATAGCATTTAGCTGGTTTTTTAATTAATCATACTTATATCCTGACAAGGATAGTCATGTTTATAGCAAGGATAAATAATTTACTACTGATGTCTTTCACTCCTGTTTTATCAAGATCATGTGGTTTTGATTTCGATTTAAGTGACGAGGGTATATGTGTGGTCACGAGGAACTTGCTTCCTATGTGTTTGTCCTGTGCTCCTCCTGACTTTTCCTCCTTTCAAACCGTAATATATGATCATGGGCATGAAACCTAAAAAACTGTTCAACCAGAAATTCATAAACCAGTTGGCGTGGGTGATTACTTCCAAAAAAAATTTTTTTTGGAGAGTTACCCAGACTCTCTCCTTTTCTGGACTCCTAATGCTTGTTCTCATTAAACACAATACTACCAGTATTCTAATACAAAAAGGAAATGAAGATAAATTGTGCACATTTTCATGAGTTCAGAGAGTTCCCATCATGTCATGTGCTGAATGGCCCAAGCAGGAGCTAGTTGAATGGAAAGGTTGTTATTCATCTTAAGGGACAGATATGTGTGGCTTGGTAGAAATAATTTGTGAAAAAATGCTACTGGTTGGAAGGAATGGGAAATGATGAATGAAGGAACTGTTTGGAAAATGGGGGACATTTGGGGATGAAAACTTTGGGTGTCCAATGTCACATATCCACATGAAGTGACTCAGTCATTGGTGTGTTGTTTCTATGGACACTAGAGAAGAATCTGTTCCCACCTAGCTCCGCCAGGATGTACGTAACTGCCGGACAGGGAGATGACAGCTGGTTAGTGGCAGACATCGTGTGTAGCTTTCCCAGTAACCAAATCATTCTCCTTTTGCTTCCTATTAATAAAACTGAGATCGTGACTGACCCAACACTATCATGACAATCCCATTCATGATTTCCCAGCCTGTCTTGCAGCTAAGGAGGACTTTGATCCAGTTCTTGCTGATAAGTGGAAAGAGAATTGACTGGTGTCTTCTGAGAAAACTTTTGCTGGCTCTGCCCTTCCTTTACCCACTTTCTTTGTGACTTGAATGCAAATGAGATGCCTAGTGATGTTGTAACCAGCTTGCAACCAAAAGACAATGAACATGAAGCCAAAAAAGCAATGTAATCAGGATGCCCGAATGGAGAATAGCATCCGTTAAGTGCTGCTGGGCCTTCAAACGAAAGCCAGCAACAGCCCACCTCAAACTCTTTGCTATGTGAAAAAAATAATCCATTTGTTTTAGCCACTGGAAATCGATTTCTGTTCCTTGTGGCCAAATGTGCTCCTAACTGATACTGTGACTGGGTAAAGGGCAAATTTCTCTTCTCCCACTGCTCATCAAATGCCTGCAATAGCTCACACATTTGACTTGTAAACATATATTTATGTCTGCTGTGGTTTACTGAATTCTCTAGGAGAAAGGTACCATAGAAATCTGAAATGTTTTATAGATGAAATGTTTTATACACCTCAGTTCCTCAGGTATTTATAGAGCAGCTATTCATGGGTGATAATGTACTAGTAATGGTGGTGCAAAGATGAATTCACAGCCCTGCCCACAGAGAGCTAACAACTCAGTGGGGGACACAAGTGTGGAGGTAGAGTTTTATAATTCCATGTTAAGAGAGGCCTTTGTCCTGGGTGTGCAGGTAATACAGAAAAAATGATGAAATCTGAAGTGAGGAAGCAGGGAGACAATAGTATCTGAACTGGATTTCCTTGGAGATATGCAGGTTTCCCCTCAGAAACTGCCACTTTAGAGGGAGGGAGGCCACTTCAGAGACCAGAAAGTCTGAAAGAGCTTGATGGTTCAAAAGCCTCAAGTTTCTTATATCTGAAACGGCACTCATGGTCTTCCAGACGACCCAACTTCCTCTACTTCCTTGCCTTCATCGCTCTTCTCCAGATTTAGCCTCTTATATCTGTAGGATTTGTCCCCCCCCTGCTCCTCTGCCACCCAAAGAAGAGAGAACACAGCCCTGCCTCTCTCTCACTCTCTGGCAGTAACCTCTTAGCTTATCCCTTTGCAACTTGTTACTTTTCTCTTCCAAACCACTCTCCACAATGCCGCCAGAGAGATGGTAAGAACGTCTTGAAGCTGATCCTATTATAGAGGAGTTAATAGGATCAGCTTCAAGACGTTCTTACCGTCCCTTTGCTCAGAGGGTAACCAAGATCCTGGGCTCTGTGGGAAAGTGCTCACAGTCTTTCCATCTTGTTCATCCACACCCTTGGTCAAGCTGCTCTGCCCATGTTGCTGTGCCTTAAGATCCTTGAATAGTCTCTTCGCACATGCTTTTCCCTCTTTATAGGGAACACCCCCAAATGAACTCCTCTTTGTTTTTCAGATCTTAGAACTAAACTGTCATCAATAACCTAGGTGTCAAGTAGATCAACTTCTATTTTATTTTATTTTTTTTAAAGATTTATGTATGCATACAAGAACCGGGGTGCATGTCAGAGGTGTGGGGGTGAGAGGATTCACCAGAGTCAGAGTGGGGAGCAGAACAGGCAGATCAACTGAAATACACTGCTGATGGAGCAGCAGGAGAGACAGGAGAGGTCTGTTGCGCTATGTGGGTCTACTTCCTCAATGGGGATCGGACTCGTGCTGCAGTGGCTGTGGATAGCTTCACAGTGCTTCGCCTTAACCCCTTGCACCACCGAGGAGGCCCCTCAACTTCTATTTTAAACACTCATAATCCCACATAATTTTATTTGTAACATTTTTACAGTTGTAATGATGCCATTTTCTGTTTGATGATTTGATTAAACAAACTCTCCTCCAGACTGGACAATGGATCCAGGCCCTCAAGAACTATCCTTGTGACCACTGTATCCTTGTCTCCCAGCACAGAGGCTAAACCATGGTAGACACTCAATATATTTATTGAGTGAAGAAATGAACAAGTGATTGGAGTCTTGAGCACTGCATTTGAGAGTCTATGTAGTTTCTTAAAAAAACTTTAATGTAAACTTTATAGGGAAGTAATTTATATAAGATAAAGTGCACTAATTTTTAGCAGCAGTTTAATGAATGGCAACAAATGTGTCCTCTGATGAACTCTTTCCAACAGTTAGACAAAACACCAATCACCCTTATCAACATAGAGACCGTTTCTTCACCCCAAAAAGTTCCCTTGTGGCCCTTTGCAGTCATTCTGCAGCCCCAAACAACCACAGATCTGTTACTGTTGATTAGTTTTGACTTTCTTAGAACTTTGTAAATTAGAAAATATATGATGTACTCTTTTGAGTCTGCTTTCTTTGGCTCAGCATATGCATTTGAAATGCATCCATGTGTTATGTGCAATTTGTTCCTTTTTACTCCTGGTTAGTATTTCATTGTATGGCTATGCTAGTATTTATCCGTTCACATGTTGGTAGACAATTAATTGGGTTGTTTCCAGGTTTTGATTGTTACAAATAAAACTGCTATGAATATTGTATAACAGACATTTTGTAGATAAATGTTATTTCTTTTGGGCAAATACTCAAAAGCAGAGGTTTAAGCATCATTAGCATTTAAGATAAAACCTTGGAGCCAAAATGAGATACCACTTCACACTCACTATGATAGCTGTGATTTAAAAAATGAAAAATATCATGTATGGACAAAGATGTGGAGAAGCTGTAACCCTCATATATTTCTGGTGGGAATGTAAAATAGTACAGCTGCTGCGGAAAAAAGTTTGGCATTTCCTCAAAAAATTAAACATAGAATTACCATTTGATGCAGAAATTCCACTCCTCCACATATATCCAAAAGAATTGAACACAGGAGTTCAAAAACTTGTAACTGAGTGTTCATAGC